ATGCCAAGTTTGCTGCAAAAGTCTTTGAACTTGGCGTTGTCAAACTGCTTCCCATTGTCTGTCACTATGGCCTGCGGTATACCAAAGCGACATATGATATTCGTCCATACGAAGGATGTGACCCTGGATTCCGTTATGTGGGAGAGCGCTTCGACCTCGGCCCACTTGGTGAAGTAATCCACAGCGACCACAGCGAACTTGGTCTGGCCCTTGCTCAAAGGGAAAGGACCAATGATATCTACCCCCCACTGCGCGAATGGCCACGGGGCCGAGATGGGGGTGAGCAGCTCGGGAGGTTGGTGGATTATGGTTCCGTAGCGTTGGCAATTGTCGCAAGTTCTAACGAACTTCTTGGCGTCCTGGCTGAGGGTCGGCCAATAGTATCCTTGTCGGATCACTTTGGCTGACAGCGACCGGGCGCCTGAGTGATTGCCGCACACTCCTTCGTGGATCTCTCTAAGGACGTACAGGCCCTCTTCAGGGGTTAGGCATCTCAATAGAGGCAGGGAAAAGCCACGTCGGTACAATGCCCCATCTCGAACCACGAACCGAGCTGCCCGCCTTGCCAACTTTCTGCGCTCCTTGGGGTCTTGTGGTGAGTTGCCCCTAATGAAGTCCGCGATCGGGTCCATCCATGAGGATTCTGGAGCGCCGATCTCCATCAGATCTGGCTCTGAGATCGAGGGATTATCTAAGATCTCGACGGGGACCGACCTGGCCAGGTCGGTCTCGTACGCCGATGCTAACTTGGCCAAGGCGTCAGCATTAGAATTTTCTGCTCGCGGAATCCGGCTTACTTCGTAAGTTCGAAACTGGGCGAGGTACGATCTGACCTTGCCCAAGTACTTCTCCATTCGGGTGTCTTTGGCTTGGTACTCGTCCTTGATCTGGCTCACAACCAGCTGGGAGTCACTGAAGACCTTAACACAAGAGGCCCCCAATGCTCTAGCGATTCGCAGGCCGGCAATAAATGCTTCATACTCAGCCTCGTTGTTAGAAGTCCGGAAGCCGAACCGCAAGGCGTWCTCAAATCGCTCGCCTCCTGGTCCGAGCAAGAGGACCCCGGYTCCGCACCCCTTCTCATTGGAGGATCCGTCGACATAGACTGTCCAAGGTAGGTCRGACTCGCGCAGCTCGGAARGTGGTGTGAGCTCGRCTAKGAAATCTGCCGCTGCTTGTCCTTTCAACGCAGTTCTGGGTTCGAACTGGATGTCGTACTCACTTAGCTCTATTGCCCACTTCATTAGGCGTCCAGAAGCTTCCGACTTATGGAAGATACTTTTTAGGGGCAAGTTAGTGAGCACCACCACCGTATGGGCTTGGAAGTATGGTCTAAGYCGTCGGGCCGAGGTGACCAAAGCGAGAGCCAACTTCTCCATCTGAGGGTATCTAGTCTCGGCTTCGGTCATAGCCTTGCTTGTGTAGTAGACCGGGTTTTGCCGCCCTTCCTCTTGCCTGATTAGGGCCGAGCTGACGGCACTGTCAGACACTGCTAAGTACAATTGGAGCTTGTCCCCCGGCATGGGCTTGGCGAGCAAAGGTGCCGAACAGAGSTAGCTCTTCAATTGCTGRAAYGCTTGYTCGCACTCCGCTGTCCATTCAAACGRCCCTTTCTTTCGTAGRACTTTGAAGAAAGGAAGGCACTTATCTGTCGACCTTGAAACAAACCGGTTCAGGGCCGCAATCCTGCCATTGAGGYACTGAAGCTGCTTCAGCGTTTTAGGTGCCTCCATCTCGATCACGGCTTTAATCTTTTCGGGGTTGGCCTCGATTCCCCGGTTGTTCACCATGAAGCCAAGGAATTTTCCC